GAAAGATTTGCCAATAGTTCTACTGTAGCACATTCTGCAAAGTTAAATATAAAAGTACCATCAGACTTTCAACAAACAACATTGTATGGAAAGAGTCGACCAAAGTAGAGGTGTTAGTCTATAGAGCAAAGTGTTTGGTGAAAACAAAGAAAGCACTTCAGGATATTATAAGCACAGATATCATAACGAACATGATGGTGGAGTGATAATGAGTGTTCATCTTACTCCTCTCCATACCAAACTATTCTACAGTCGAATGAGGCCATCTGTCTGATAGCTATTATAGCCTAGCCTAAATTAGGTCATAAGCAGGACAATGACTCCAAGAACAGGAGTTACAACAGAATGCGTGAAAATAAAACAATAATTTTGAAGCAATGGCTTAGTTGAATTCCAGAATTCAAGAGACTATAACAGTTAAAAAGGAAAGGACTCCGAAATGTTGATTTGTCAATCAGCAAATTTGTTTCTGATGGGCAATAAGAAAGGCATTTCTGGATAATCTTAAAGGTCAATGTTATTTAGAGTCAGTGAAATTAAAAGATTGCTTTAAATTAGGTTTAAAGTAAGTTAAAAGTAGTCTTTACTGGGGATCTTGATCTGAGTTCTACTTACAAACCTAAGAATCACTTTGAACTAACATATTTTGTGGATATTTTACATTTGAAGTGGGATCTAATTAAGATTATTCCTAAACTGATACATTTTGATGGTAAGAAAATAGTTATGCTTGTTTTCATTGGGATTAAATATAAAATATTTTTAAGAACTGTTCACGAGTAAAAGAAAAAAAATTCTAGATACACAAATCCCAGATCTTAAAGAAGGTTTTTTTGTTTTTTTCCCTAAGTGTATCTTTAGAAATCTAAATTCAGCTTGTGGGATTGTGCAATACAGCCTTACTCTTTAAGCATAAAACCACACACATAAACAGACAAGCTAGGATGGATGGATGGATGGATGGATGGATGGATGGATGGATGGATGGATGGATGGATGGATGGATGGATGGATGGATGGATGGATGGAT